CTCTGTGCGATCTCCTCTCCTCGTTCGGGTCTCATCCACCTGAGCTCCTCGCCCTCTCCTTCAGGAGCATCACAACAACTCTCTCATTGTTATTTTTAACAACCTCGCCCTGTTTTTTATTTTTTATTTAGGTTAGATCTCTCACACTGAGGCGACGGCGTGTGACTCGTTGTCAGACTTTGTGTTGCCTCGCAACCGGCTGATGTTACAGTCGTCTCAGTGTTTGATCTCCGAGCTCTCCGGTGACTGATGGAGCTCGCTGCTGCACTTTGGGACCGAGTGAGAGAGAAACAGAGACTTTCTGATGAAGAGAAAGTTTTTATCTGCATGTATTAAAGTACATTATATCACGGTGTGCGAGGAGTGTGTGTTTACAGAAGTACGCATAAAAGCCTTCTAACTTGTATGACAGGATTGTAGTTTCATAATGTAGACCAGCAGAACTTCACCTTCACCCCGACACCAGACGCAAAGACTTGTAAGTCAAAGTAGATCCACCAGCTTGAAGTTCTAACTAGTGGTGTGGTACTCGACCGGTCTCGAGTCCACTTTTTGAAGGTCTCGGAACTGAACGCATTTTTCCTCGGTCTTGGTCTCGGGCTTAGCACTATTAAATGCCAACATGGCGCTGCAGATATGGCGTCTCCACCTCATTTGGCACCTCAAGGCTGTTCACCACAGACATGAACAGGTCATCTAAACCTCCAGTTATATTTTAGTCCTTCATTACAGAAAGGCCACACTTAGTTTCTTTGTTGCTTCAGAAGTGAGACGCTCTTGTTGGTGCCTCCGTGTTTGTTTTGTTGAGAAGAGGCGGCGCCTGTGCAGGATTCTGCAGCTGTCAGAGACCGGGGTAAGGCCACAGTATCCTGTTTTCTTTCAGAGTGCTCCAGGTAGCAAAATCAGGTTTCTCAAAAAGGGGATAAGGGCGGATCCTGGTTTCTGAAATCAGGAATTCATAAACACAAAAACAGGATGCTTAAAAACTCCCTGATCAAAACCGGGATACTGACCATCTAGTCCATGTACAGTAAACGCACTCAGTTACCCCTTGGTTACCAGCCCATTTGCATATGTCTACATATGTTCTTAGAAATCAAGTATAGAAATGTGTGCAGCTTGAATCTGGTCCTGAATGCATCATTCTACTTGATGCATTTGTTTACTTTTGTTTGCATCCCTTCACACAAACATTCAGCTTGATTTTACCAAATCTATCGACACACTAAAAGTCATGTTTTGCAGAAAAGCATGCCATGATAATCCTTAAATATTTGAGGAAAATATTTTTTTTTGGGGGGGGGTTGGGTTGACATTTGGTTCAGAGAGATAACGCCGTTCTCTTTGGTCGTGTCTTTGAAACATCTTTGGCCTTTTCTGGGCCACTCCTGAGAAAGTTGATTCATGTTGAGATGGGATGAAAAGATAGTTTGAGTCAAAGGAGGACGTCTCTGCAGGTAAAGGTCCTCCGGCTTTTTATGAATATCTGTGATTCAGTTTGTGTTCTTTGTAAATGGCCGAAGAGCAGCTGTTTGAGCGTGCACTCGACAAAGATATGGATTGTGAAGTATTTAAGGTGCAGAAAGGAGAAATCATGACACAGCTTACAAAAAGAAGAAGAAGCATGAAATAGAAAAATTAATGAGTTTGAGACTTAAATTTAAGAAACTTTGGTGGAAAAGTTAGAGAGAGCTGTCTCCCCCCCCGCCCCCTCCTCTCTAGAGTCCATGCTCACTCAGGTCACCATGTGGTGGACTCTGAAGCTTCAGTGTTTATCCAGCTCTGCATGGGTCTGTAAACCTTTCTGTGTTCTAACCTCTCTCCATTTTTCAAAAGCATCTCCAATATTGATCCTAGTTTGAGCACGTTTCTGCTCGTGGAGCTTATTAGAAACATGCAGAGGCTTTTCAGGTCGGGTACAATCACTTCTATCTGAACCACTTCTCTTGACCGCTTCCATCACTGCAACACCTGTTGACCTGATAACTGCTCTCATATCTGACAAACAGAGGGGCGTCCAAAACGGCCGTGTGGGGGGTGTCTTAAAAGCGTCTACCTTCTCTGGTCCTGAATCTAAAGTTAGAAGGAGGACATACTGGCTGCTGCATTGTTGTCAGAGAAGCCAGCACTTCAACATAGCATGTTTCCTTAATGATCAGATAGTAAGATACCTTTATCATCTCACTCTCTACACACCTCACTGATTGGACCTTTAAATCTTCTAGTTCAAAGGGTTTTCTGTGAATAAATGTTATCTTTGTGTAATTAAGAACGGGGTGTAATTGTTCTTGCAAACAGAAATAAACATCTGTATCCTCCGTCAACAGGAAGAGTTGGAGGGGGAGAAGCGGGTCTGTTTCCCTGCTTCCACCTGCAGCGATAGGTAAACTGCACATCCAGGCTATTTGATAGATAAGTCGCATAACTCCGGGCGCAGAATGAATCAGAAACGCGCCTCAGAGGCTCTGAGATCGGACAAAAACAGAGAAAGAGCTCAGGAACTTTGTGTGTAAGAAGAAGTCGAGTGAATGAAGGAGAGGCAGGAGAAGAAAGCAGGTGAGGAAGAGAAGAGTCAGACGAGTTCAGCTTTTGATTTCCACGTTTGTAGGTTTGCTGTGAAAGCCTGCGGGCGTTTTTTACTCAGCCTGAGACTGCACGCCGCCGAGCCCCGACAGCAGGATGAGATAAGGAGAGACAAACGCAGAGAGGGAGAGTAGGAGAGGTGTTTACTTCAGCCGCCGTCTCTGTCACAGTCTGCATGAAAGGTTCGCACTTTGAAGAGAAAATGACTTTACTTTCTTTGGCTTGTTTTCCCTCCTGTCACGTCTATTGAAAGGAGACGTTTTTCATTCAGTCACGCCTCCAATATAAGTGTTTTTGTCGCTTTGAAGCTGCAAAACACGGCAGCGATTATCTGTAAATTCGACCATTTTAGGCTAAAAATCTTGTCCTTACTTTTCCGCTGAAGTTTTTTTTCTTTAACTCGCTGTGGAAAGCTTTTGTAAGCAGCGTGAAACCAGCGATGGAGACTGGACGACCTGCAGGTTTTCTTTTCAGACCTCTGCATCAGGCCGCTTCCAGATCAGATTCAGTTTTATTGTGCAGATTTGTCACACGAATACAAAGAATATCACCCTGTGTTTTGCCTCACACACACGTTTGAAAGGTGACATCACAGGAGAGGAAATAAAGAAAAATGATGATGAATAAAAGACACAAATAGGTCAGTAAATAAAGGTTCGGTTATATCTTTTACTCACTGATTTTATTGTTCTGGGCTGCACAAGTTGATGATTTTTAACTGATATTTATGGCCTTGGTCTTGTCTCGGTCTCGGAGCACTCTGGTCTCCGATGTGTCTTTGTCTCGGTCATGGTGGTCTTGACTACAACACTACTGAATTATCCTTTTGATATATTAAATAGCCTCAAACATGCAATACACAAAGTTACTATTACAAGTTACAGCATTTTGTTAATAATTGCTTATTTAATGCAAAAATAAATTCCTAGGCTACATATATAGTGTGATCAAGTGGCCTCTCTCCTACACTTTGTGGTAGGTAAGGTTGCCTGTTTTGGATTTTATGCTTGTTTCTCTCGCAAGATCTGGCAACCCTGGCTGTATAGATTTTTTGATTAGGGGTTTCCACTAATTGCTAGACTCATTGCACCTGTAGGAGAACATAAACTACTGTCACAGTTTGGGGTCTAGCTGCATTAATCTCTTAAACTACTTCAGCCCTGCTCAAAACTACCAAACATTCAATCATTTTGAGGATATTTTCATAAAAACAATATTAGAACTATGTACTAAAACTGGCATTTAAAGGGCTAAAATCCTCAAAAAAGTGTGAATGACTCAGTACTGAATTTTTCCCGTGTTACATTGAGTCGTTATTTGATGATTATGGCTCAAATGTCATGAAAATCAAAACAATCCAGGATCTTTAAATCTTAAAACATTTCACAAACGGATCAAAAAGAGTTCAGATCATCAGAAGAGCGAGGAGACAAACTGATGCCTCTGCTCTGAAATCTGTGACAGCACGACATTCAGCCGTTAGTCTGTGAAGAGAGCCGAGCCTTTACACGATCAGAGGTGTCTGACAGTGACACACACACACACACACACTCACACACACACAGAGAGAGAGAGAGAGCGTTTATTTCAGTGTAAACAAAGAACCAGACTTTAAAGTTGAGTCAATGGGGCGCTGCGGCAGGGAGGAGAAAATCTTCGATACATGGTGTCTGGTTTCTTGATCTCGTTAAAAGTCTCGCTGCTGCGTTCAGAGCTAATTGGGGGATGAATGAAAAGACGCCCGAGTGAAACTGAAAAAGATGAAGTAACGAGGCGGGAGGAGAAGGGTCGTCTGTGAACAACTTTCACAAGGACACAAACTCAAAGTTTTCAGATTGACGCTGAATTTAATTTCTCTCTCATTAAATTTACTTATTGAATTTCAGCGTTGAGACAATCTGAAGTAAGCAGGCGTGATCATAATGTCAGAAACTTTATGAAGCAGCGATGGCAAAAGAAGCGAGCAACCAGGTTTATAAAAACACGCATTGAAGAAGCGTCTGCTGTGTGATATCTCTGAGCAGCATGCATGAGAAATACAACATAATAAATCTGTATATATGTTTTTTCCCCGATGGTCCGAATGTGAAGCTACTTTTAAAAAAGCAAGTTGCTGCAAAGGTCTCAAAAGTTGCTCAATTTCATTTCAGTGGGGGTGTGGAGAGGAGGTTTTTGTGTGGACGGATCTGGCAACCGGGCATCGCAGAGTTTTAATAACAAACCAGAAACATGTGCTTGAGATTTTTAGTTGTAAGAAGTAAAGACGTGAGACCTGATGAGCTTTTTGCACACCGTGTTGTGAAGTGTGTGTTTGAATCTCTGCACATGTTGTTGATCTGCAGTCTCTCATTCCGCTCTCGATCCTCGACTCCTGTTAGTCGTTCTCTCTCTAACTCTTCTGTCTGTTTGTGTTTCAGGAGGAAGCAGCCAAACCAAAGATTGTATCCTCGCAGAGATTATCTCCAAAGTGGTGTTTCCTCGACTGTGAGTACATCGGCTTACTTTTAGTTTTTAACCCTTTACTTTACCTCAACAGCTCTCCTTATCGTGAACATTTTCCTGCATGTTTTGAAGTTAACCGTGCAAGTAAACAAATGTAGGTAAGGTACAAACAGCCTGAAAGTCAATGAAGGAATCCATGTGCTTAAAGCTCCCGTATTCTCATGTTGTCAGTCTGTGAAACCTTCAGAGCCGCTCAAAAACCTCCTCATTTATCTGAAACTGGCGCCAGTCAAAACCCTAATTACAGCCTCTGTCTGAAACTGGTCAGGAGGACTGCTCCTTGAAATCCTCCTCACACTCGCACCTCACAGCGGGAGACTCAATCTGACTTTCTGCAGAATGAATACGAGGAGGCCGGAGGAGAAACTCTCAATGTTTGCTAGAATTAAAGGTCTGAGATGTGTGGCGAGGGCAGGTCAGTCAGAGGGGTTAAATGCAGAATTATCAATTCCTATAAATAAATCTGATTTTAGCAGCAGCTTCAGTTTGACTTAATTGAAACTTGTGCGCTGAGATGCCTGACGGAGAAACAGCCCACACACTTCCATCTTTTTCAATCATGTTGCTTCCAGATTTGCAAACACTGCCACCGCTCCCCGTGCACGCACACACCGCTGTGAAACCAGTGTGTCCTCGTACTGATAAACACACACACATTATGAAACACACTCTGAGCTGCAGTCAGAGCCTTCAGCGAGGGTTTGATTGAATGTTCAGGAGCTTTGTTACAAAGCTGTCAGATCGTTCATGTGGCTGCAGAGTCTGCTGGGAGGCTTTGTCTGATGCATTTATTTCATTAAAGGAGGATCAACGTAACATACAAATGTGCAAACACAAACCTGTGACTTGAAAACAGGTGAGTGCGCTCCTACAGCGTCCTTCCTTTGCATTGTGTTCACTGCTGAAAGTCATGAATATTAATTTCATACAGCAGCAGCTTACCAAAGACATCACAGAGAAAAACCTGCGTCTTACATAATGTTATGCATGCACTGACACACACACACACACACACACACACACACACACACACACACACACACACACACACACACACACACACACACACACACACACATCTCTGCTTGAGTCCTGGAGGAATTAAGCAGGAGTCAAAGAAAGAGAGCGAGCTGAAAGAAAAAGAAAGAAGGACGAATTGTTTGTGCGGATGTTTTTGTGTTCTGTGTTTTGTGACTCAATATTTACCTTGAAGGTGACATAAAAAAACACACTGTGTGACCTTTAACCCTTGTTAGCAGAAATAACATCAGGGCTTGACATTATCTCTGAGCTGCTGGAAGCACGATTGGTGTGTTTTGAGTGTTTCTTGTAAGATCATCTCGTAAACTACGGCTACAGCATCAACATTTCACACGCTCCAGTGAGCGCATTCATTAAATTCGGACATGGATGTTAGGGAGGGTTTTCTCTCTTAGGGCAGTAAGGTAAAGTGTGTACCTTAGTAACCATGTTCAGCACACACACGTGGATGTTAACCTGCAGGGAGGACTGAAGGGTAGGGCTGCTAATGTTAGCCACAGCAGGCAGTTACAGTTAAACTGATTACTTCCTTTTTAGGTTTTTGATGCCTCCTCTGAGATAGAGAATGATGTTGGGACGAGAGAGGGGTGGACGACATGTAGTAAACACGGCTCTGACAACAGCACAGCCAGCAGGAGTCGAGCTTCTCACAAACCAACACACGGGGAGAACTCTGCAAACTGATTTAAAAAAAAAAAACAGAGGTTTAAACCGAACTGCTCACCTTGAAAGACCTCATGGAACTTGAGAGTGCTTTGTTCAGCTCCCAAAGATTGAATGGACGCTCTGAACTTCTGTGTGAAACCTCATTATTTTATGATGTAGGACTCAGACAGACAGCGAGCCGATCCTCGTCTTGTTCCTCTGCAGGTTGTCACACACACTGTGTGTCTCAGTATAATTGCTTCAGTGATGGAGAGCTAAACCGTGAACAAGTTAACAATGATGGAGGTCATTTGTTATGTTTGTAAATGTGAGAGCAGAGATGATGTTTAAATGTGTAACTCTGCGTTTTCCATTCGTCTCTTTCAGCCACGACAGCTGATCGCTTCTACAGGATCGACCGAGCACAGGTGAGTCTGTCTCATCAGCCGAGGTTATTTCTGTGTCCTGTCAACACCGTCTCTATTCAGTATGCAACCCCGCTGAGGTCGACTGTCATGAATACGTTCAGAAAGAAAAGCCTGTGAGACGGCTCTGGCTCCACACCTGTACACCTCCTGATCTTTGTGAGTCAGGTTCATGTTCTTGTCTGCTCTGAATCGCATGTAAGGAGATTTTATCATCACATGTGGCCTTCATCAGACATCACAAACGAAAGGAGACGCATCAGTACTTGGGGTTATCACCAGAAAGCGAGGGATGATGATGTAAAGACGACTCAGAGGGTTAACTACAAAAATCTCTTATCGTCTGCGATGGATGAGAATTACTCTCCTCTTTTCGGGGGGAATTTTCTTTAAATAAAAGCTTTATTTTTCTGTCAAACAGCAGAGGAGTTGGGTGAATATTTGCACTGAGAGTATTTCCTGCAGGCTTCCTCTCAGGCAGCTCGAAGCCAAATCAACGTGCCACAGCGAGGACGAGGCAGAGTGCATGTAGCCTCGCCAAATCACCCAAAAAACAACCTTTTCACCGTCTCACGGCTTCTCCTTTTATCAGGTTTAGAACTTGTGAACAGTTTTAAAGTTAGTGAATGTCTCTGTGGACGCTCTGCCCTTGGACGTCTTGTAAAATTTTGAAAAAGGCAGAGCCAAGTTTTTTCTGTTGCTTCTTCTCTCCCGGTGACTTCTCGAGGTTTATGTAAAATGTGCAGCCGTGTTAGCAGATGTCCGCTGCTCCATGAGCCTGAAATGATTTGGGTTTCTCTCAGTTGCTTAATTATTCCAAAGGCAGGGCAGTAAAGGCGTATTTGGCATATTACTCTGACATGTGGTTCACACAGCTCAGGTACAGAAGCTCCTTCGACTGCGTCTGACTCCTGAGCCTTGTTAATATTCAGCTCGCTGCCGGCCTGGAGTCTGAGTTTTAGTGTTTCGCTGTCAGAGGAAGAGATGTATTCCTCTGCCACTTCCATCTGTATCTACACGGCTCTCTGGCTTTAATGTGACTGCAGGAACTTTCCTCAGAGAGCAGGTGAGACGATACTTCACAGAGTGTCTCGTATCAGGAGCATCATGAAACTAACTTCATTTATCCTGTCTGCTCCATTTATCTTTTATTGAAATGTGCTACAAATATTATACAATAACAAACGAGGGCTACACACAAACTCATAGAACTGGAGTTACTGCCAGTAACAGGAAAACAACGTTCTCTAGCATTGACGAGCGCTGCGGCTCGCCGTCTTGAGCTGCAAAGTTGGAAAAAAACATTTATTTGGTAAAGCGCTTGTCTGAAACCTTCCTGTGTTTCATGTGTTGTTTTTTTCTTCTAGGAACATCTGAACTACGTCTCAGAAATCTCCCAGGAGGAGATCTTCATCCTGGACCCTGAGCTGGTAGTTATGATGACAGTAGGCACCTCCGCCATGCCGGACCTGGTGAACCCCGCCTCCAGCCTGGAAATCAGCAGGTGGGTCCATTTCTGCAATTTTTCCCTCTTAACACTTAAGGGCAAAGTGAGCAAAAAAATCCAGACAAGTGCTCAAAGAGTTTAAACATTTAAAGCAGAGTTAAAATCATCGTCCATCTTTAACCTTTATCATCCATTAGTCCGGCGTTGCAGGTCTGCAGGGTGCTCAGAGCTGCTCTCAGCTGACTCTGGGTCCGTCGGTGCTGACAGAGAGTCACACAGGTGTGCTAAATGTCGAGTGAGTCAGGTGCATTAGACACCTATACGTACAGTATGTGGTACAGTATGCATGGCTCTCACCGAAGGAAGGGCGTGCGAATTTCAGAGAGCTGCTTCACAGTTCGAGTTGTCAGCCTATCGAGCCTGTTAGAGGGCAAAGCCTGCATGAAGGGAGAGCTGCACCGCTCTGAAGTGTGTGTGTGTGTGTGTGTGTGTGTGAAAATACATGAATAATATTTTCTATCTTCTCCCTCTGAGAAACAGCAAAGTGTTACTATAATATTATCCATGGTTGTGTGTGTGTGTGTCTGTGGATAACGGTTTCCCCTGCTCGCCCGGCCTCTGTGTGAAATCCTTTTAACCATATTTACACACACACACACACACACACACAGACACAGACACAGACACACAGATTAAATTCTCACCTACAGGGACCTGTTCGTGCAGGTGTGTGTTTACGCTCCTGAAACGCTCGCTCACTCTGCAGGCAGAGCGAGAAGATCGAGCAGAGAGGAAACTGTTTCAGAGAGAGTTTCTCTTTTTTCTCTCATCGCTGAATTTTTTTATTCAGTTTTTTTTTTTTTTGTGATTTTTATTTTAGAAGTGTGAGGGTGGACAGAGTCAGAAATCAGGGAGAGAGAGAGTGAGGAATGTCATGAAGGAAAGGAGCCACAGGTCGGTTTGAACCTGGGCTGCCCTGTTTGAGGACTACAGCCTCCGTACACGAGTCTCACACACTAACCACTGAGCTACCAGCGCCCCCTCATCACTGATTTTATCAACCTTTTCAGACTCCTTTTATTGAAAAAGTGTCGTAAATAAGTCCCTCCATCGCTGCTCGACTGTAAAAGTGTTTATCTCACCTCGGGATGAAAATAAAAACAATAACATGTAATTTAGTGATTTCGCAAACAGCTCTGAATGTTTTAAATAGTTTCAGGCATGATTATGGATTCAGATATATCCAGATAATTACAGCTATTAACAAAAACAATGACAACTAAAAGCTTTCAGGTTGTTTTAATGACATGACGTTCACGTTAATGTGACCGCCGCTCTGTGTCTGATCACATCATGCATGCACCGCCGTGCTCTCCTGTACCGTGTCAGTAATTAATGCTAATCGTTAGCGTTAAGTGGACATCACTTTGCTGCGATCGCTTTGACCCCTCGTTCACAGCTTTGATTTGTATTCACCGTCTGTGCGGTGTGTGAACACTCAGGTTAGACATTTTTAAAAAAGGAGCTGATATGACGGCGTGATGCGATGAACACGGGCCGGATCATGATATTCCTCCTCCCGTCGGAGCTCATGTGAGGATTGAAAATGGAAAAGAAATTAGCATACAGAGCAGAAGAGGGAATAAATAAAGTAACAGGTACAATGTGAGTACAGGCAGAGCAACGCAACCTGCTGATCCTAACAACACTTCCCTTTGGCTGTGTGTGTGTGTGTGTGTGTGTGTGTGTGTGTGCACGTGTGTGTGTTGGCGGTCTGATTTGCAATGCTGAGAGCTCTGAGTGGGAGGATGAGGAGGAGAGAGGAGACCGAGAGGCAGGGGCCGAGAGAGAGAGAGAGAGAGAGAGAGAGAGAGAGATGGGTTTCAGGAGGAGAAAGATAGAAACACAGAGGATGGAGAGAGATGGAAAGCATGTCAGAGCGCTCAAGAGTCACACCAATCTGCCGTACTTAGACACACACACACACACACACTCACACATAAACAGAGTAGCAGTTAGCCCACGCAGGGACAGAGGTGAGCGTTATTCCTCCCACCATAATTACCCTCTCTCTCTCTCTCTCTCTCTCTCTCTCTCTCTCTCTCCTGCGTCTCTCTGACGAACTTGCTGAAAGACACCTACACACCGAACATTTTGTTTTTGTTGTTTTTTTTTGTTTTTTTTTTCCAGATGATTTTTGAGCTGATTGCTTCGCATGCTGTCACTTAACGCTCAGACATCAGGTGTAAATCTGTTAATGAAGACACGGGGTTAACGCGACAGCAGGCTGACGATCAACAGGTCGAAGAATTTTGTGAAATATTTACGAGGAGAGAAAATCTGGACTCAGATTTGAAGAATTATGTGAGATGTGGAAGACACTTCTTCCCATTTTTTTGTTATTTTATTAGAGGTAGAGGCTGCATGGTGGTGCAGGTGCTTAGCGCTGTCCCCTCACGGCGAGGAGGTTCCTGGTTTGAATCCCAGTCTGACAGGAGCCTCTCTGTGTGGAGTCTGTATGTTCTCCCAGTGCATGTGTGGGTTCTCTCTGTCTTCCTCCCACAGTCCAAAGACATGCTCGTTAGGAGACTCTAAATTCCCTGTAGGTGTGAATGTGAGTGTGGCTGGTTGTCTGTCTCTTTATGTCAGCCCTGTGATTGGCTGGTGAACAGTCCAGTGTGTAACCCCACCTCTCGCCCAATGACAGCTGGGATCGGCTCCAAGCCCCTCGCGACCAAACGGGGAAAAGCGGTAAAGATAATGGATGGATGGTGTCCTCTAAAAGTTGTTGTTTTTGTCCCTGACAGGCTCAGATTGTTTTTCTAAGTGTGTGACATCATCACAGAAAGGATCCCTGCAGAGAAACAGCTATTACATCTCTGTGCAAACACACCAGACTACATTCAGACAAAAACAGAGATTATGTACATAAACACAGGAGTGGAAATAGCTTTAGTAACCCCTTACAAATGTTTGTTTTACTTGAGCGTGTTTAAGGTTTGGGAACGACGGTGCTTCAGGTTAAACGAAACAAAGATATTGAGTCTGTGAAGATGTTACTTAAAAGATTTTTCCAGACCAGTTAAGGACCCGTTAAAAGCCCTGCAGCTCCTTCAGTCATGCAGTCAGATCTAACGTTTTAGACGGGCGTCGTCAACATTACGTTTTTGCATCGTGTAGAAGCTGTTGCACATGTTCCCTCAAGTGTTTTAAGAGCAACACTGGAGGTAACCGAGGTCTAAATCAGAGGATATCACAGGTGACAGGGGATGCAGAGGTGAGGTGTAAAGACAAATATAACTCAGGAAGCTGTGGGAGGGTTCAGCTGCAGCATCTCCAGCATCCTCTCTCCTCCTGGCGGTGTTTGTTTCTCGGTGTGAAATCTCCTCAGGACCGACTGTGTCTTCACATCAGTCAAGAGTGAAAAGTTTCCTCAGTAGTCAGAGTGACATTTCACACCGTGCAGTGGATGTAGCTGGCAGGTTGTGGTTTTTTTTGTTTTTTTTTAAGTAAATGTAGGAGGTAGGAGCAGCGTGAAGTTTGTTTTCCTCAAACGATGCCCTCTGTGATATCAAAGCTCCGACACCAAGAACTAATGTTTCACAAACAGAGACGTCGGAACAAAACCAAACTCCAAACAGACGCAGACACGATTACAACAGACGGTTAAAAGTTTTATTTTTATCCCTCCCTGTGTGTGTGTGTGTGTGTGTGTGTGTGTGTGTGTGTGTGTGTGTGTGTAGTCGAAGGAGGACTCTGACATGGCCTTCAGCTGGTCCCTTTTGGTCCTGCTACCAAAGAGGACCAGACCAGGTGTTTCCTGCTTGGAGGCCACCGTGGAAACACAACAGGCTTGTATCTGCATGAAGGCTGCACAGTGTAAAAAGACATTGAAGGCTGTAACCACGACAACCAGCTACCCTAATACTCAGGACTGAAGTACATTTGATTTGGTGCCGAAGCAGCGTTAAAAAAAGGAGAAGAGGGCAAAAGTACAAGAAGTCCGGAGTCAATGAACTACACATCCCACAATGCATTGCGAATGTTACCACCTCTTCTTGATTGTAACTTTTGTCGTTGTTAGCTATCTGAGTAGCTAGCCTGCTATCCGTTCACATAAGGCGCTGAGGGGCAGGAGACATCGCCATGGTAACAGCAATCTCCACCAATCAGAGACGTTGCTGTGGTCGTGGGTAGTGTAGTTCTTTCCACTGATATCGTGAATAAAAGAAGTTGTTAAAACGAGGTTGATATCAGACCAACAGGGAGTGTGTGTGTGATCGTTTCACAGTCGGGTAGCTCGTGGTCAGATGGTTATGACATCACTATGGAGAACAGGAACGGGATTTTCACTTCCTGAACCTCCACTGTTGAACTGCAGGACGTGAGATCTCGAAAGACCAGAGGCAGACCTGGTCTGTCATCATCTGCTCTGCCTCTGGGAGCGAGTTCAGATTGTTTTCAGGGTTGCTGGTCGGACTGGGTAACGTCTCATCCACCCTGTTCAACCAGTACGTCCCGTCTCTCCCGATGTTAGAAGATCATATCCGAGACCTCACTTCCTCTTTGGCTCCTTTCAGTTACATTTTTGGAAATTCTGCAAGAAACTCTCCGACCCTCAACTTCTTTTTTTTTTTACACTTTTAACACAACTTCAAACCGCTTTGCCTCTCACTTCTTCTTTCCTCTAACGCTGCTTTTATCCCACTCGTGCTCATTATCTGTGTTCGACTCTTTTGTCTAACGGAGAGCCAAACTTTCAGAGACGTGAGAGCAGAGGTGACATGAAAGGTTGTTGACACTTTGGAAGGCAGAAGAGATCATTACGGTTGTTTTTAAAGGACAAAGATAACTAAGAAACGGTCGTTATCGATATTGTTTTAAGTGCATTGTTTGAAAAAGAAAGAATATAAAACATCTCCCGGGGGTCGTCTGGTCGCTGAACTCGTCGGTGAATATCTGAACTTTCCGTCATCGATTCTGTTTCTTCTGTTTCCTCTTCTGCAGTTCCTCCCAGAGGCAGCGAGTGAACAGTGACAGCTCTGCAGCCGACGCTTTATCCCACTACGCCGCGCCTCTGCCCAGCAAACTGACCAGGTTTGTAAACAGACAAAACAATAACAAACTTTTGTTTCTCAGATGCAACTGGGACGCCAACAGAGCGACTTTTCAAAATGGAGCAAAACTTCCTGTTTTTTAGGATGGTGATGTGGAAATCTGGTTATTTAAAGGAAGAATGTGCGACTTTTGATCCAGTTGATGTCGCCCTTTAGCTCCAGCATGAAACCAAAACAAACTGCTGTTAGGCCACGCCTCCTCCACAGTAGCTTCACACTGCATGTAAACTGACACAGAATGAGCGTGATCTAAAAACTCTTACTAACATCCAAATAATCAGTGAGTATGTTCTTCTTCTTCTCTCTAGTTCTTGACTAAAACAGCTTTTATACACAAGGGGAGGAGCCGGCCGTCCCGTCCATGTAAACACGGCTCTGACAACAACACAGCCAGCGGGACTCGAGCTTCTCCCTCATTGTAGACAGTCAGGACTCAGAGACACATTCACACGGGACAGACTTTATGATTTATTTATGTGGAACATGTCGCTCATTCTTCCTTTAAGGTGATGTTAGCATCTAGACGTCGAGGTGGAATAGATATCTGGAGCCATTTAAATTGTTCCTGACTTAAATGACTGTTTTCAGTACTGACTGGTTTGTGTTCTGCAGGGCGGGATGTATCCATCGTTCAAACACCACGGCTGCTGATTTTAAACCCAAACTGAGGTCAGTGCTTTACATCTTATTCAAATCAATACAACACATCAACATGGAAAAATAATCAAAAATCTTGTTTTAAGATGAAAAACTCTGGATTCAGATGATTTAAATGAGACCACATAGGACATACTTTGTCCACAGGGGGCGCCAAAATCCACACAAACTGATGAGACAGCTCTTTACAATGTTTAGAATTTGGACTGCAGTACCTGTTTTAACCACTAGGTGTCAGAGTTACATCCTGCTCCTTTAATAATGAGCTCATTTTAAATCACATCGGATGATTAAAGCTTTTATTTCATCACGTGTACGTATTCATCACAACACTTCCCCGCGGTCGCCGTGACGCGCGTTTGCTGCTCGCAGTTTGACGTTCATGCCTGACTTCTTCTTTAATCTTCTCGTTCGTTAACAACCAAAGTTCTCGTGATATTGTCAGTTCGGCTTCGAGTCTGCGTGTCACCTCCCTCTGCTCATTAAAACGCAGCGGCGTCCGTTAAAGCAGAACGGTCTCTGCTCATTAAAACACGACCTCACCGACTAAACGAGTGCATGTCGATTTATTCTGTGACCTGAAAGGCCAGTGTGTGTGTGTGTGTATGTGTGTGTGTGTTTGGTGCCATGCATGAGCTCAAAGACATCGTGTGTGTGTGTGTGTGTGTGTGTGTGTGTGTGTGTGTGTGTGTGTGTGTGTGAGAGAGAGAGAGAGAGATTGTGAAGGTAATTCCTGAAGTTTTTTGTCTGTTTTCACCAGCTTGCGTTTTCATTGGTTCCTTCATTACTCGGCTGTATCACTTCGTCTACACTAACAGGAACACATGCGCTCCGTCTCCTCCTGATCTGAACTCCAGCTCCACGTTAGTTTGGATCTGCACATTGGCTTTCTTCAGTGTTTGAAAGATTAGATTCTCACTTTAACCCTTTAAAGTGAACGCATCAAAACAAACGCTCCCACCTCACCGCTCGTCTCCACTCCCCACCGCCCGCCCTCCGCCCTGACACAAGAGAGGAGACACAGAGAGCAGAGTGGAGGAGAGGAGCTAAGGAAAGGAAAGCAATAAGGAAGGGAGCGTTGCTAAGGAGAGGAATCAAGGGAAGGGGAACAAAGATGAGGAGAACACAAAAGAGACAAACACGATTCCATGAGCATCAGTTTTGTTTCCTGATCATTTAGACCCTAAATACATAAAAAGCTGGAGCCTGATATCACCTGAAATCCTCCGTACTATGAAACACAGAGTGAGGGAGGTCTGGTCGGTGTGTGTGTGGATGAGTGTGTGTGATCCTGTGTGTGTTTGAGAGGGTTTTTCATCCCCGCAAATGTAGAAACAGTAAGTGGTTGAACGGCTCCTCTCATGTGTTTTTACTCTCTCTCTCTCTCTCTCTCTCTCTCTCTCTCTCTGCAGAACGGAGAAGAGCCAGAAAATGAGCGATCCGGAGAGAGAAAAAGGTAACACACACTCACACAGATTTAGATTTATATTCTTGTGTGCTTTTAACCCGACCCTTAGCGTGAGTTTCACCTCGAAAATGATTCTTTAAAAACCAGGTCTGAACTGTGAAAATGTCCTTTTTGGTCTGAACGTCTTCACTTCACTGCTGATCCCTGTACTGTAGCTGACAGGTGTGTGTGTGTGTGTGTGTGTGTGTGTGTGTGTGGGGGGAACAAAGACAGGTGCGACAGCTTCTGCGTCTCCAGACAGATTGTTTTTTTTCTTCTCTGACACATATTTTCTCATCGCGGCTCACTTTGCATGCTGGGAGTTTTTCTCTCTGTCAGCTTCTCGGCGGTTCTTCTTCTCTTCGGGGACTTGAGTGTTTTCGCTTCATGATCTGGTTCAGTTGTGTTCCCCTCTCTCTCTCTCTCTCTCTCTCTCTCTCTCTCTCTCTCTTGGCGGGGAGTTTGCCAGCAGGTTTTTTATTTTTTTGTTTTGTTTGTTTGATTCTAGTTTTCGGTGTTTGGATCTGAACACAACCAGTTCTCAGTGAGAGTGATTAAAGCCGGTATGGAAATCAGCTTTGAGTCCGCAGCAGCAGATAACTAACACAGAGGCTCTGCTGATTCAGGCACAGACGAGATGACAGACTCAGAGGAAACTTTTGCCCGTAGGTGTGAATGTGAGTGTGGCTGGTTGTCTGTCCCTGTGATTGGCCTGGCGACCAGTCCAGGGTGTGACCCCGCCCCTCTCGCTCCGCACTCCTCACAAACTGAACGTGACACCTCTGAAGCTAACTGTTGACGTTTGCTTTGATTTGCACGATTACGTTCAGATTTAGTGAAGCAAACATTTAAATTCAGTCCGAGTCGTTCTGTCCGTCAAACATCAGGAACACGCAGCGACGGTTTCAAATACACACACACACACACACACACACACACACACACACACACAGCTCCCATAAGGGTCAGACAGGTTGACTGCATCAAACCGAGGAGTTCATTGGAGCAAGCGACGTGTCTGTGTGTTTTTCTTCTTTCCTACTTTGTTTCCTTCTTTCAAATCGTTCCTCTCATCTCGTCTCCTCTCCTTGCTTCCTCTCATCTCCTCTTGTGTCCTCACTAATATTTATTTTCCATCCTTTATTTCCTTTCCGTTTCTGATTTTCTTTACTCCTTCCTTCCTTCCGTTGCTTTCCTTTGCTCCTGTCCTTCCTTCCGTCCTTCCTTCTTATTACCTCTCTGTACTTCATTTCCTTCTCACCTTTGTTTGTCTTCCCTCTTCATTTCTCACCTCCCCTCTTGTCTCCTCTCTCCTCTCCATAGCTCCTTACTCTCCTCTCTTATTCCCTTTCTCTCCATCCTTCCTATTCTCTATTTCATTGCATTCTGTCCTTCTCTTCCTTTCTCCCTGCTTCCTTCCTTTCTGCTCTTACCTCTTTGACTCCTTTCCTCTCAAATCCTTTCTTCCTCTCCTCCCCCCTTGTTTGTGTCCTCTCTTATCTATTCCAAGTCCTTGTTTCCTCTCCTTGTCTCCTTGATTCCTCTTCCCCCCTCATGTCTGTGGACTGTTTCCTCCACCTCTCTTTAATTCCTTCATTCAGAGTGTGTGTTGTTTCTGATTTGTCTTGAAGCCACAAAAGCTCTTAGCTCGGTTTTTTGAAGTCTGCTCCCTTTCTACCCCCCTCTCCCCCCTCTCTCTCACACACACACACACACACACACTCACACACACACACACACACACTCGCACACGCACACTAAGCCGAACATAACTGGATTAGGACGTTGGAGAGAGATAGTGAGGTGGAGCGAGTATTGAGGTCAGCCTAATAAACATTCATCTCATATGTTATTGAAGCGTTTATTCATCCTGTACATGAACATGTGAACCTGTGACATGACCACGCTGTGCGTCGATGACCGCGTTCCTCATCACGACGATGCCTTTGTTGCCTGTGCCGTTTAAGAAATCACATACACGCAAAATCCATGTAATTGGATTGGAGGACTGTTATCGTCCCTGAGGGGCAATTTGGTTTGCAACAGAGGTCAACACACATCAGCACAAAGACAGAAATACATACATTTAAAACAAAACTACCATGGTGATGATGATAAGAGACACAAACACTAACAGTCCTTAAGTTAAAGTGTCATGGCAACAAGACCAAGTGAACCTCCTCCCTGTCTGCAGAAGTCTGAACTCTGAGACCACACTAACCAGAGTGCTCCGAGACCGAGTCAAGACCAAGACAACAAATATCTTTGTGTGCAGGAGGCACCGGGAAGGTTGCGTTCGTAACCGGGGGATAAAAATCAAACTATGAATGAAGTGAAGTTATTTGTTACCAACAGATCACAAAAGTTCAAATGGAAAAAAGTTCCTACAAACATCCACCCAACGCAGCCAGACGTAATCAAAGCATTTGTTTGAATCTGTCTGTCCATGTAGGTTTGTTTCTTTTATTCTGAAACATTTTCTCTGAACTCGTCGGTCTTCTTATATCAGCAGTATTTACCTCCGTGAATCTGTAGCTCTGGATTTATCAACAGGTTGCATGATCGCTTCAGTATCTGTCGTCTGCAGCTGTATCGTCCTGAATGAGGGATTTTAATCCTTTATTATGAGTGTCACACGGGTACTGTGGTAACTTTGGTGAAATCTCATGAATGTGCGACAGAAAAAACGACTCGTTGGTCTTAACGCCGTATGTTTGTCTGTTTGGTGAGTGATGTTGGATTAGCAGAGTTTAATAATCCAGTGAGTCAGAGCCCCACACACACACAACAGTGGCAATACATGTTTATATTTCTGAACACAGCACAGCCAAAATACTTTTTACATCAGTTTCAACATACAACAATGAGTCATGAGATGCCGGGGCAAGAAGACGATTGAAACAGCTTGAACAAATTTAAAAAGCAGTTTTTATTCCCCAATTTAAAATACAAATCAAACATTTTTAACATTCTCTCTCTGTGTGTAGAGCTGCTGGTTGAGTGTGTGAAGAACAAAGACTTAAAGAAGGTGAGTGACAGTTTCATCTCTCACTACAGACCTTTGCACCTCATTTCTACATACTCACATGTGTCTTTGAATTGAATCATCAGCTGCAGGAGCTGCACCTGAAGGGAGCCGACCTCACCTCACTCGACTCGTCCGGCTGCAGTTTACTTCATCACGCTGCCAGTGCAGGAAGCAAAGAGATGGTCCGCTACATCCTCGACAACGGTATGTGTACAGTCCTCCACGTGTTTGGTGTAGGGGAAACATGGGAAACTTTCAACGACAGGCTTGTAAAACAATAAGTCTTGCTTATTCAACAGTAAAGCTTAAAACATGTAGTTTCAATCAATCTTTATTTGTAGAGCGCCAACTCAATACAAATGTTATCTCAAGACACTTTACAAAAAGCAGGTTTAAGAGAGGGTTGGTTCGCTCTGACAATGCAGCTCATTGCTTGCATTGTCAGGACCAAAAGACAATTTCAACCAGAATCTTAAAAAGATCTGGAGAAAATCACCCATAACGGTCTCGTCTGATGTCTTTTTAGCTCCAAGTGATCTGCTGGACGTTACAGAAAAACTGCAGTAAGTACAGATTCTATTTGTGCTTGAAAACATCGAACATTGAACTGAAACCATGAGGTTTTTAAAATGCTAAACACTTTATTTAAATGTTAACAGAGTGTAGATGATGATGCTGTTGCTGAGAAAATGTTGTGAAACTTTCAAACTTCAGTCCTGTGCCTGTATCTCCAGCTTTGATGTTGTTGCTGTGATCTCTGTTCAGTCTGTATGTGATGATATATGTGCCACTGTTGATGTCTGTTCCTCGGGTGATGTTGTCAGATGCTGTAATCTGACGCGCTCTCTCTCTCTCTCTCTGTCTCTCTCTCTCTCTCTCTCTCTCTCTCTCTCTCTCTCTCTCTCTCTCTCTCTCTCTCTCTCTCTCTCTCTCTCTCTCGTTGACCAGGGGGGAGACGGTCCTTCACCGAGCTGCGTCCCTGTGTCAAAGAACTATCTGTCATTATCTGGTTGAAGCAGGAGCCTCGCTCATGAAGACAGACCTACAGGTACAGTTCAGACGCTAACCTGCGGGCTTTAAAATGGATATCTGTGTCTGTGTGTGTTCGCCTCAAACAGGCATCTTCTCTCATTTTGTTCACATTTCCATGGAGGTTTGGAGCCTCATTGGCTGGACTCAGCAATGACCTAGATACAGAGAGAGGAGAGGCAGACAGATAGTTTCTTTCTTGGTGTTCACATATCATGTAAACAGTGTCTCTAGTGACGTCACTGATGCTCCATATTTAACTTTGAAACATATTATCCTAATATATGATTGACCATATGTTCATATCATAATCTTATGTGATGGTGGGAACAAAGCTAGTAGTAACTATAAAAGCTAACAACATCAAAGTTGTACTGGCTGTCTAATTAAATATTTTTATTGAATAACAATGTGTCGTCGTTGTTTGGACGATTAATGAATTTAGGTTAGTATGTCGGCTTTGATACATTTTTTTAGAGCGCTAGGAGTTTATTTAAGATGAAGAACTAGAAACGGTTTAGTCAGTTTTAATTTTAGATGATTCAGGTACCGGACTGTAAAACTTCTGACATCCATTAAAACAAGAACAACATTACAGCTCATTTAAATCTTTATAAATACTATATCAATCTAATTTATTATTATTATTATTATTATTATTATTATTAAAGCTTCCTGAGTCTAAGTGGACATTTGAAGGAGGATTGAATTTGTGGCATCTTTTGGAGATAACAGCTCCAATCTTTGCCTTCAGGGCGACACTCCGAAAAACCGAGCCGAGAAGTCTCAGGACGCCGAGCTGGCGGCGTATCTGGAGAACCGACAGCACTACCAGATGATCCAGAGGGAGGACCAGGAGACGGCCGTCTGACACTGAAGTCTGAACTTTTTTTTTTTACGAGCGTCATCAGACTGACCGAGTGACAGACGGCGGCTCGTTCGGGGCTTCAGGGTGTGACGGGGGGACTCGTCTGATCCCTCACCAGAGAAGCTGTGCCAAAACCTGCAGTGGCGGTTCTAGACCACTTTCACTGAGGGGGCCAAACTGGGGCCAGTTGTTTTGTCAGAGGGAACATTAAACCAAATTAGACAAAGATGATCGCTTTAAAAAATATATTATGCCAAATAATAGCGCACATCATTAAATACCATGATATTTGTTTCAGTAACAGAATTTAATACTAGATTGTGAGTCCAGTTGTTGAGTACTCGGGGGGTTCTTCCTTTTGGAGGGGTGGCCACAGGGGGGGACCAAACTCACTGGCCCCTGTTGGCCCCTGCCTAGAACCGCCCATGAAAACCTGAACTCAACGTGTTTAATAGAGACTTTAGCGGACCGACAGTCGGACTGTGTTCTTGTTTCTGACTTTGGAAACAAAACTCTGAGAGCGAAGATTTCTTTAAAAAGAATTTCATATCAATCAAAGTCCAGGAACTTGAAATAATCATCGTATGTAAATGAGAAATAAAGAAAAGCTTTGTGTGATTTAAGTGTCTACTCTAGTTTAAAGGAAAGTGTTTATGTCCAGATTGTATCTCAGGAAGATTTCAGAACTGTAAACAAAAGTTTTTACCGTTTGAACCTCTGAAGGTGTTCACCTCAACTCTTCTTTAAAAACATCCCGCTCAGCGACCCCCGAGAAAAAGATTTCATGAATCATCACAACTGTGAAAGAGTTTAAACAGTGATCTTTATTCCTGAAACTTGATCTTGTAGATTTGGTGCCAAAACAATAAATAATAAATAAATAATAATAACTAATACTACAGACTGCTGAATCTAACCACAAACACAATGAGGTTCACAAATGAGTTTGTAAATGCAGACTGAACAGTTTATATATTTGTGGATTTCTATTACATATATACAAAACGATAAAGATTTGTGATACATTTGTGAATCTTATTTTTTAATTTTTATTTGTCCCATCACTGTCATATCTTTAGTCTAATCTTATTGTATTTATTTATGTATTTTGATATTTTGAGTGAACCTGTACTCCACGTGTCTTTGGATTGTCCCCCGGGGATAAATAAATAAAGTTCTTTTTAATTTTAATTAACATAATTATTCTATGAAGGTATGTCTATAGTTACTCCACCAATCAGAAGTCACCAGGGAGCTGATTCAGCTGACCAATCACCTCTGCTGTTTCCTGTTGATGTTTGCTTCCTGTCGTCTATCTGCACCTGGAGTATTCTGAGTGTCACACAGTCGCTGAAACAGCTTCAACAAATTTAAAAAAGCAGTTTTTATTTCAAATCAAACATTTGTAACATTCTCTCTCTCTCTACAGATAGATGAGACCAGACCTTATACCACCTGATACACGTGCTCTTTATTCACCAGATTGAATAAGGAGTGACAGAAGAAAATCATGTGAACAGTGTCTCTAGTGACGTCACTGATGATCCATATTTAACTTTGAACCACATTATCCTGATATATGATTGACCATATGTTTATATCATAAATCAAATCTGATGTCATGGTGGTAACAACGGACGACTTTAGGTTAGTAAGTCGTTTTAAAAGTACACTATAGTACACAAATCAAAGAAAACACACAATACAGCTTTAAACTAAATCTATAAACTGCACAGAAAAGATACAAAACAACAGCTAACAAGTAAATAAAACTAAACAACAGATAACAAGTAAATAAAACAAAACAACAGCCAACAAGTAAATAAAACTAAACAACAGTTAACAAGTAAATAAAACTAAACAACAGCCAACAAGTAAATAAAACTAAACAACAGTTAACAAGTAAATAAAACTAAACAACAGCTAACAAGTAAATAAAACTAAACAACAGCTAACAAGTAAATAAAACTAAACAACAGCTAACAAGTAAATAAAACTAAACAACAGTTAACAAGTAAATAAAACTAAACAACAGCCAACAAGTAAATAAAACTAAACAACAGCTAACAAGTAAATAAAACTAAACAACAGCCAACAAGTAAATAAAACTAAACAACAGCTAACAAGTAAATAAAACTAAACAACAGCCAACAAGTAAATAAAACTAAACAACAGTTAACAAGTAAATAAAACTAAACAACAGCTAACAAGTAAATAAAACTAAACAACAGCTAACAAGTAAATAAAACTAAACAACAGTTAACAAGTAAATAAAACTAAACAACAGCCAACAAGTAAATAAAACTAAACAACAGCCAACAAGTAAATAAAACTAAACAACAGCTAACAAGTAAATAAAACTAAACAACAGCTAACAAGTAAATAAAACTAAACAACAGTTAACAAGTAAATAAAACTAAACAACAGCCAACAAGTAAATAAAACTAAACAACAGCTAACAAGTAAATAAAACTAAACAACAGCTAACAAGTAAATAAAACTAAACAACAGTTAACAAGTAAATAAAACTAAACAACAGCCAACAAGTAAATAAAACTAAACAACAGTTAACAAGTAAATAAAACTAAACAACAGTTAACAAGTAAATAAAACTAAACAACAGGTAAAAGTAAATAAAAAAATAAAAAATAAAAATGTGTTTATAGTTACATGGTGACGTCAGCTGTCGTCCTGCTAACGAACGCAGTTAGTCGGGCGGTTAATGTTACCATGGTGACCGAGTTTGACTTTCTCTTGTTGCTAGGTTACCAAGAGTTAAAAAAAATAACATAAAAACAAGTAAATTACATTAATAAATATTTTTTATCAATAAAACATTTGATTTTTGACTTAGTCTTGTTTATGTGTCGTCTTATTTATAACTTTTTAATTTCTTCGATAGAAACGTTCTGCGTCACTTCCGGTTGAAGCTTCCGGTAATCACGCACAGGTGTGTCGAGGTGTTCTCAGGTGTGTATATCATTGTCTCGAGCAGGTAAGCGGTGCGGACCGCGTGCAGCGTGGCAGCATGTTGGAAGAAGAAGGAGCCGGGGAAGGAAACATGAAGTCTAGATACTCAGTGAGTCTTTAAAAGTCCAGTTTGTGTGAAAAGACACAAAATAGAAATACCTGTGTCTTTATGCTAATGCTAACACGTGGGCTAATGCTCATGCTGACGTCATTACAAATGTTTGTTAAGAGGAAACATCGTCAGAGTAAGATGATGATAACGTTTATCAATATTATGAAGGTAACTTTTAAACTTGTTTTCTCTTAAACTAATTATTTAACTCCACAACACCGGCTAAAAGTAAACTCTAAAAACAAAACTTATAATTTAAACTAATATTAGTTTGAAGAGTTGAAATAAAACAATAACCTGAATTTAAATTTATTGACCCGAGATAAAATTATTTATTTATTTATTGCACAAAAAAAATTAATGTTAAAGATTTTCTCAACATTACTGTTCACAGAGCTCAGACATTAAATGTTTATCTTGTTTAAGTAATATGAATAGACTTCATTAATTTAATTTAAAAAGTAAAAGCTTTCTGTGTTTAATTCAAAGTCTAATTAATTTATTATTTAAGTGCAGTAACCAACTAACCACCAGAGGGCGCCCTCTCTATATAAAGTGATGTATAAACGATAAAATGCATTTATTTTCAAACTATAACTTTAATTAGAGTTTGTGTTCTTGTGACAGTTAATGTAAGGTAAAGATGTTTCTTAAGACCTTATACTCAATGTTTCTGTTTTATATTCTACATTTAAACTTTGAATTTAAGTTTTCTTCGGTCTCATCCAAAAGCCTTAAAGTGAAGTTAAACACAAATCATTTACAGTGAATGATAAAACCCAGGTTTATTCCAATAATCATGATGTTGTATAATCACAAACATTTTCTGAGTTTTATTAACTTGATGAACTAAAATTAGTTTTTCTTCTCCAACAGGAACTCTGTTGACGTCTTCCAGGAGGATCCCCCGTCGGTGACCGTCTTCCTGCTCAGGTAGGAGACTCAAAGCTTTCTTAATGTTGTTTTATTATGTTCCAGGTTTTAGGTCTTATAGATGTTTAGACTCAGTTATTTTAATCATTTCCTCCTTTTTGTAGTGGAGGAACATCAGGTGTTTAATGAAATACTACATTTTATAATCCTTAGGTATTGTTAGTCAACAGCTTAGTTACAGAGTTATCAGTATGTTGATGTTAAAGCTGATTTAAGGGGAGTTATGACCTCCTTTTAGTTTAGACCTCGATATAGCGCTTGCTTACTTAAATCAGCTTTAACATCAACATACTGATAACTCTGTAGCTAAGCTGTTGACTAACGATACCTAAGGATTATAAAATGTAGTATTTCATTAAACACCTGATGTTCCTCCACTACGAAAAGGATCAAATGATTAAAATAACTGAGTCTAAACATCTATAAGACCTGGAACATAATAAAACATTAAGAAAGCTTTGAGTCTCCTACCCAATGGGGATGCCTGTGACACCTTATTGTGTTGGTGTAATGTACAAAAGCAGTTGATGTCTGTTTAGTGTTTTTGTAATAAAACTACTCCTTTATCCATCCTGCATCAGTGATCAGCTTTGTGAGGGGGGGGGGGTCTCTTTCATGTTATCTGCTAGATGTGTTTTATTCGTAGTTTACAGCTTTATTATTGAGGGAAACTTGTTTCTTGTAATACAAAACATTTAAACTTCACAGCTGTGTGTGATTAAAGAAGGAAACAACTACAAAACATCTGTTAGGAATGAAAGATGCTGACAACACAAACATGGGAAATTAAGACTTGAACATTTTATTTCTGAAAGTGGCTTAAGAGAAAACAGACAATAAAATTAACAAGTAAACTTTAATCCTCAGAAGATCCTTCCAGCTGCAGCACAGATCCTACTCTTCAGAGTTCAGAGCGAGGAAACACCTGGAAGATCAGACACAAGAAACGAAGATATCAGGGTTCAAAGTTCATGTCAGGATGCATCTGTGAGTAATTTACAGCTAGGATTGTACAAAATGTGAACAGTAAAATGGGCCATTCTGATACATTACTAATTTTCAATCATTTAATTAAGTCAAAAGAATCTACATCAAAGTGAGAGTTAAGATTAAAATCACACCAAAACTAAGGTGGTTGTTAATTTGAGATAAGACATGTTTACACATCTTTCAAATGTATAAAAAGTAATCACAGATCAACATTTAGTGTTTTAAATATGTAGCTGTGATGCCTTAAAGCATATGTGTGTTGTTTTATCTGCACCTACTTAGCATCAAGAATATGACAATATGGGATAAAAACATGTTTAAAAAAAGAATATGACTATATGTGACTCAAACGGTTAAAATAAAACAAGAGCCAAGAAAATACTCACCAAATGTTGAATGAAGTGAGGCAGCGTGGTGTAGCAGACATGCTATCAGCTCTTCATCTTGTTTTGGTCAGGCTGCCCCTAAAAGTGTTAAAAGAAAGAAACACATCACAATTAGTTTAAACTTCAAAATGTTTGTTATTGTAAAGTGTCTGGAGATAACTTTTCTAATGATTTGGAGATAAGTGAATAAAAATGGACTGATTTATGAAAGTTAACATTCAGTTTGTGGTGTAGCAGACATGCTAACAGCTCTTCATCTTGTTTTGGTCAGGCTGCCCCTAAAAGTGTTAAAAAAAAGAAACACATCACAATTAGTTTAAACTTCAAAATGTTTCTTTTTGGAGACAAGTGAATAAAAAAGGACTGATTTATGAAAGTTATCATTCAGTTTGTTATCATGTCACATTGGGACTGTTTTTTTGGAAAGTAACTACTGCTGCGTCCATTCTGCATCACATTGACTTCAGTACCTGGGGAGGAGAGAGAGAGAACATCTGTGATCAGGTTCAGCTGCACTGCATTAGTCCTTAATGTCGTTGGTTATCTGCCAGCTGTGTTTTAATTAGTTATAGTAGTTTACGTGTTTATTGTTAGCCGATAAATCTGTCGCCCAAAAGGAGAAGTCAATCAAATCCTTTTGAGGACCAAGACCTTCAACCTCATCATACAGAGCACTGATAATAACTTTAATTATCTGTGGTTTTTAACATTCTCTCTCTCTCTCTCTCTCTGTGTGTAGAGCTGCTGGTTGAGTGTGTGAAGAACAAAGACTTAAAGAAGGTGAGTGACAGTTTCATCTCTCACTGCAGACCTTTGCACCTCATTTCTACATACTCACATGTGTCTTTCAATTGAATCATCAGCTGCAGGAGCCGCACCTGAAGGGAGCCCCACCTGAAGGGAGCCGCACCTGAAGGGAGCCCCACCTGAAGGGAGCCCCACCTGAAGGGAGCCCACCTCACCTCACTCGACTCGTCCGGCTGCAGTTGACGTCATCACGCTGCCAGTGCAGGAAGCAAAGAGATGGTCCTCTACATCCTCCACAGGTGTGTGTACAGTCCTCCACGTGTTTGGTGCAGGTAGGTTAACAGTCCGACAAACTCCATTCAACGATGAGCGAGTCAGGATGTTAGTGACTCTTTTGATTTATTCACCAGATTGAAGAAGTGAAAACTACAAGACACAAGAACATTTAGTTTAGTCATTACTAAAGTTCTAGATAAAGAAATTCAAACAACAAACTAACACACAAAAGAAAGCTTAGTTGTTACTAATGCTAAGCTACATGCTAATGCTAAGCCACATGGCATGCTACATCAGATGCAATGCATAACAAATTATAACAAGGCTAATGCTAAGCTACATGTTAAACCTTAACTTCAATACAGTGAAGGAACTTACATTTCTGTTGCTGCCTGCTCTGTGCAGCCTTGAAGATCAAAGAAGGAACCCTCAACTTCCTGCTTCCTTTAAAGGCAGGGCACTTCCTGTTTGATCAGTCACTTCCTGTAGCAGTACCTTTACCTGTACCTTTAAGAGTATACCAAATAACCATGTGTAGCTCATTAGAAGAATCCTTAGTTGTTGTTTTTTTTATCATTAATGGATGTTTGTGGGTTCTTTTCATCATAGGTATGTTTGTAGTTTTTTTCAACATAGGAATATGTAGTTTTCTTTCTTTCTGTATTCTAGTGTTTGAATAAATGGGAAACTTTCAATGACAGGCTTGAAAAACAATAAGTCAGTTCAATCAATCTTTATTTTGTAGAGCGCCAACAAAAAGTAGATCTGGAGAAAATCACCCATAACGGTCTCGTCTGATGTCTTTTTAGCTCCAAGTGATCTGCTGGACGTTACAGAAAAACTGCAGTAAGTACAGATTCTATTTGTGCTTGAAAACATCGAACATTGAACTGAAACCATGAGGTTTTTAAAATGTTAAACACTTTATTTAAATGTTAACAGAGTGTAGATGATGATGCTGTTGGTGAGAAAATGTTGTGAAACTTTCAAACTTCAGTCCTGTGCCTGTATCTCCAGCTTTGATGTTGTTGCTGTGATCTCTGTTCAGTCTGTATGTGATGATATATGTGCCACTGTTGATGTCTGTTCCTCGGGTGATGTTCTCTCTCTCTCTCTCTCTCTCTCTCTCTCTCTCTCTCTCTCTCTCTCTCTCTCTCTCTCTCTCTCTCTCTCTCTCTCTCTCTCTCTCTCTCTCTCTCCTCTCTCTCTCTCTTCTCTCTCTCTCTCTCTCTCTCTCTCTCTCTCTCTCTCTCTCTCTCTCTCTCTCTCTCTCTCTCTCTCTCTCCTCTCTCTCTCTCTCTCTCTCTCTCTCTCTCTCCTGTTGACCAGGGGGGAGACGGTCCTTCACCGAGCTGCGTCCCTGTGTCAAAGAACTATCTGTCATTATCTGGTTGAAGCAGGAGCCTCGCTCATGAAGACAGACCTACAGGTACACTTCAGATCGCACCCAAAACAGACACTGACCAATAAAACAACAGCTAAAAGGTAAATAAAACTAAACAACAGATAAAAGGTAAATAAAACTAAACAACAGTCAGAAGGTAAATAAAACTAAACAACAGTTAACAAGTAAATAAAACTAAACAACAGATAAAAGGTAAATAAAACTAAACAACAGATAAAAGGTAAATAAAACTAAACAACAGTCAAAAGGTAAATAAAACTAAACAACAGTCAAAAGGTAAATAAAACTAAACAACAGATAAAAGGTAAATAAAACTAAACAACAGTCAAAAGGTAAATAAAACTAAACAACAGATAAAAGGTAAATAAAACTAAACAACAGGTAAAAGGTAAATAAAACTAAACAACATCAAAAGTTAAATAAAACTAAACAACAGTCAAAAGGTAAATAAAACTAAACAACAGTCAAAAGGTAAATAAAACTAAACAACAGTCAAAAGGTAATAAAACTAAACAACAGTTAAAAGGTTAATAAAACTAAACAACAGGTAAAAGGTAAATAAAACTAAACAACAGTCAAAAGGTAAATAAAACTAAACAACAGATAAAAGGTAAATAAAACTAAACAACAGTCAAAAGGTAAATAAAACTAAACAACAGTCAAAAGGTAAATAAAACTAAACAACAGTCAAAAGGTAAATAAAACTAAACAACAGATAAAAGGTAAATAAAACTAAACAACAGTCAAAAGGTAAATAAAACTAAACAACAGATAAAAGGTAAATAAAACTAAACAACAGGTAAAAGGTAAATAAAACTAAACAACAGTTAAAAGGTAAATAAAACTAAA